CCTCTTGTTCCTCCCACGCGGTTCTGGCGAGCTAAGAAAATGTTTATCTGCCTGAGCTTGGTCTTCACAATTCCATTCCATCACAGCATGGGACATCCTCATACTTCACTGTTAAGTCCAATGAATGCTACTTCAGGGGGTTCCAAATTGTCCCCTGAAAGAGGAGATTTTGGCATTATTATACCTTAAGAGTTATAATGTCAACCAAAAGTTGATACAGCCTGTAGAAAAGCAGTGGGCAAAGCAGAATGTGGCTATAGGGCCATCAGAAGCTACAACTGCATTATGGTCACTTCTGTATTAACTGTTCTATGAAACAACAGAAGGTAAGCAGAAAGATCTTCAGCTATGCTTTGGTTCCAGAAATTACATTGTCTGTCTCTTTCCATATGTAGGAAACTTCACTGCACTCGGAACTACATACATTTGAATCTGTTCCTGTCTTTCATTTTAAAGGCAGTCTCTGTCTTAGTTAAGGATGAAGTCCTCTATTCCAACACTAGCACAGAGGAGTGTCCAGAAAATCAACCTTCCTGGGTAAGTAAAGAAGATGTTATTAATTAAAGCCCATTTCTTTTGTACCATGTACGTAATCTTTGAGATGGTAGTAGGTTATATCCAACATCACATGAGAAGAGTACCAGGATGGGGAGTGAGGCTTCAGTTAGCTTGCTGGAACATAATTGGAATGGAGCAAAATTGCAGTGGGGAAAGATATCTATTCCTGTAATGGCTTCTGTTCTGCTTTTGGGCAGACAGCATTAGGTACAGCTAATATTCAGGTCTGTGTAAAAATTGATGTGATTGAAATCTAGGTTCTCCTTCCTTGCCCTTACATCCCCATTAATTGGGATGTAAAAAGATCCTCATTCTGGGCTAAAGAGCATACGAGGATTCCAGGGAGTACTCATGTATGTACACGACGCGGCAGTTGCTTTTGGGTTTTTTTACATGTTTTGTAGGTGTTTTTGTGCCTAGTGATATTATTTAAATAAAAAAATTTAAATGAAAAAGGGGACCACATCAAGGGATGAAAGGAATTTACCAAAAGAGATAAAAATAAGAACTTGGAATGGGATCTGGAAGCCTTTAATTCAGGTTTAACAATTCTAAAATCAGTACTGTCTAACGCAGTGGGCAAACCACTGCTCAGTTCTCCATCTGAAAGTCTGAGCCATTTCTCAATGAGTTTGCAAGATCTTCATCATCAAAAAGCACTTTCTAAATTGAGTCTTTCTAATAATTGCCGAACAATGAGTGGTGCTAGAAATGGGAAAGATAATCAAAAGTTAAAAAATAAATAGTGACACCTGCTTATCATAAAAATATATGTTAATACTTTTGCTTGTGGACACTGGATAATATTAGTCTATCAAGCATCTCAACCCTTTGAAATTAAGAAAGACAACAGCCCTTAGTATGCTTAGTTTGGGAGGAAGTAACATCACTCCGGTGAATATAAAGGGATTTAAAGTGGAATTTGCATTCAGTTCCACTGTTGAGGAGTCGTAGCACATACACACCCAAAGGGAGAAATCTCAGCATTGCAGGGAATGATTTTCAGAGATGTTGCTGCTCAGAGTATGAAACTGTGTCTTGATGGACCAATAGCCTGAAAATATATGGCAATTTCATACCTAAGTGTAAATTTCAGTTTCTCGGCTCCATGGATATTAATGATTCCATTCCCTTCAGCTTAGTTAATGAGAACCAAGAATCTTGTAGCAACTGGAAGCATATTAGTCCTCAGCATGGAACTTCCTCGAGTCTTAGCCCCCCCACTTTTCCCTGTTAATTAAATTTGACACGCTTTTCACAAAGATGCTCTGCAACAAAAATGCAAAACAATGGATCACCTTTATTACTTCGCATGTTTAGTCTCGTGCAGTTCAGATGGGAATGACTGTCTTGTCTAATTTAAGAAGGAACATTCTTCTCCTCCCCCCCCCAACTATTTATCTAAAGTCCTAACTTGCTGGCATCGTTATAGTATGGTCCATGTGATGAAGGATCTGCACCAATGAATCACGTATGCTGTGTTCATTCTGGTTTACTTATATAATAGTTAAGCAATGCTTTTCAGTTTCTCCTTGGGTTGTGCATTCCATGAGTTATTTTTTGCTTCTGGCACAGCTGCTGTAGAATAAACTAACTTTAAAAAGGGATGGGAACATGTTCCCCAAACCAAATTACTTCTGGTTAATGGGTGGTCTTAAATGCCTCTGCCTTGTCCTGATTCTTAAAGGAGGTGACATTTTTATTCCTGGACTTTTTTATCCTGAAATGTGTGAGAAAGTGTGTGAAAGAGAAATTTGATAATAAAGAACACCATATGTTAAATATGCCACTACTTTAGGAGGCAACAACCAAATACATCAGTTTCAAACCTGGTTTTTGAGAAGCACTTGGCATTTACTTTCATTCCTTGAACCAAATCCAGAACAGTTGAAAGAGGCTGTTTCAGCCCATCAATAGCTAAATTCATGGAAGGAGAAATCTCTTGTCAAAGCTTGTATCTATCAAAAGAGATTTTAAACAAAGGAAACCATTTACTGTATTACAGCAGTTTCTTTGCATAAACATTTCATCCTTGATTTGTAACTTTCCAGGTCGGCTGCAAGGCTAGCTTGGTATTTTTCCAGTACTGTGTAATGGCCAATTTTTATTGGCTCCTAGTTGAAGGACTTTATCTCTACATCCTCCTCATGGTCATATTCTCTTCTAACAGACACTTCACCGTATATCTCCTTATTGGATGGGGTAAGAAGATCAATATAGTTATTTCTTTTTTTGCCCCCCCCCCTTCATATTAGAGACTTTTGTATCCTACTTAGGCCTCTGGAATTTGAGACTCAGCAAACTCAGCATTCTATGTGTTGGGATTTGTCCAATCCTTGACCCACCATTGTTTTGAAGGTTCAGGCAAGTGCAAAAATTATGGAGATGCATACAAAGTTCTTGCTAGATGGCTGAGGGGATTTATATAGCTTGATGGGTCACAGATTTTGTAGTCCCCTGACCTTAGTACTCAGGCTACTTGGAGAGACAACTGTAGAACTCCTGGATGAGCATAGGGAAAGTTCTCAAGTGAAACCAGAACCATGCTGGAAAGAAGATTCAGGGCTTCTAGATAGGAGAAAGTCCTGACACAAATTGAGTAGGTTTTGGTTTACTTTTCCAGAAACAAAAGTCAGGGGGTCATATTGGGGCACATTCAATCCTAGGCATTTCCAGTATCAAGGCACATTGGACAACTGCTGATGGTTATATAGACAATCGTGGCTGGACAGACATTTTATTTATTTATTAGATTTGGAGACTGCCCAACTCCCAGAAGACTCAGGGTGGCTTAAAATACACATAAAAAAGACTGAACAGTAAAAAGACTAAAGACTCTGGAAGACTAAAAACACCCATACGTACCTGAAACCAACAAAAAACTAACAAAGGCTCAACATCTGCCTTAAGCCCAGGTCTGGGAGAAGACCCATGTTTTTGATGACTTCCAAAACAGCTGTAGGAATCTCTAGGGGGAATGGTATTGCACAGGTCAGGTACCACAACAAAGAAGGTGTGCTGCCTAGGTCCCAATAGATGACATTGTTTAATTGCCTGAACCTGGAGTGTACCCACTGTGCTTGATCTCATTGAGCAGGCAAAAACTATTGGAGATAGATGGTCCCTCAGATAACCTGGCCCTATACCATGTAGGGCTTTATAAGCAATAACCAGCACCAGGACTTTAACCCAAAAGCCAGCTGGCAACCAGTGCAGTTCAAGAAGCAGGGATGAAGCATGGGTATAATGTAATGCACCCACCACTGCCCATGCTGCCACAGCATTCTGGACCAGCTATAGTTTCCAAGTGGTCTTCAAGGGCAGCCTCATGTAGAGCATATTGCACTAATCCAGTTGAGAGATGACTAGGGCGTGGGTGACTGAAGGGCCTCCTGCTGTAGGAAAGTGCACAGGTGCACTAGATGGACTTATGCAAAGGCCCTCCTGGCCACAGCTGCCACCTGTTCCTCAAGCAGGAATGGTGATTCCAGGAAAATGCCGAGATTACACCTCAGGCTTGAATGGGTGCAACCCAAGACCAAAGAGGAAAAATCCTCCACTTGGTCTTGTCAGGACTGAGCATGAGCCTGTTGCTCCTATTCTGACTTGGACAGCCTCCAGACACTGGATCGGAACATCAGTGGTATCAACTGGATGGCCCATGGTCAAGATACACAGTTGTGTATCAGCAGCATATGGATGATACTGGACCCCAACTGAGTGGGGCCATGTCATTTGATGTTCAGAAGGAGTGAGAGCATCAAGTCCTGAGAGACTCCATGTGAAGAGCCAGGTGTGCAACCTCTCCTTCCTGGCAACACCAACTGGAAACAACCATGGAGGAAGGAAGAGAACCACTGTAAAACTGTACCTCCTATTTGCAAACTCTATAGCCAGCCCATAAGTATACCATGATTAGTGGTATTGAAAGCCACTGAGAGATCAAGAAGCACAAAGATGGATGCACCATCTCTATTCCATCCCTGCCAGAAGTCATCAACAAGTATGACCAATGCTATCTCTGTACTGTACCCAGCTCCAAAACCCGACTGAAATGGATCCAGATAAACTGCTTTCTTCAAGATCTTCAACTGTTGTTCAACCACATTTTCAACAACGTTCCCTTTTTAGGGAGAGTTGGAAACTGGACAATAGCTGTCCATGAGCGTTGGGTCCAGTGAGGGCTTCTTGAGGAGGGGGGCACACCACAACCTTTTTCGAAGAGGGGGACCATCCCATCCCTCAATGAAGCTGACACCACCACATGGATGCAACTATAGGTCACTTCCCAAGCAGCCTTAATAACCCAGGAAGGCCCTGGATCTAATAAACAGATGACCAAACTCACAGATTGGAGGACCCTGGCCACTCCCTCTGGAGGCACAGGCTCAAACTTGGTCCAAATAACCCCACAAGACTGCACCCAGGGACCTCAACTGGACCTGCCCAGTCATCCAACTGTGAGTGAATCCAAGTGACTTTATCTGCCAGAGAACAAGAAAATTCCTCACAGCAGCCCTGAAGATGTTTCTGTGGCTCACAATATAGGGTATGAGTCAGTATATAGCACCTTCCCATATCATTATAGCAGCCACTGCATCCAGGAACAAGCAGGACATCTTGGACTTCAATCACCAAAGACTGTATCAGAAAAATACTGTATGAAACATCTGTATTCATGCTTGACTTGACTGAAGACAAACTACCCATGTTTCACCTGAATATCAGGGAGCTGTGTTCATAGAACATGCTCAGTGTAATCACTGAATTAACCAATGCTTTGGATTTATGGAATCAATTCAATCATTAATTAATTAAATGGCATGGTTTCACACAGCATATTACACCCCCCAAAAAAATCCCAAGGTTAACCCTAACCAGCTTTAGCACGCACTACTAGATCTTTCACTGACTTTGATGAACATGTGCAAACACAGCCAAATGTGTTGTAATCTAGGTTGATGTATTAGTGTTTTCCCTTCAGCTAATTCTCATGCTATGTCATATTATATAGTTTGAATTCTTAATCTGGAAAATGATTTCTGTTTGCACAGTTAATTTTGCCAAGTTATGCATTCTATATATCTTTTCCTTCCTCCTCTGCTGTGTCTTTGTTCCAGGAATCCCTACAGTTTTCATCATCACGTGGATAGTATCTAGAGTGTATCTAGACAACACTGGGTAAGCACCATTGAATAGCAGCATATATGCTTCCAGGCTTCATTATAAAAGACACTGATTCTGGTTGCATCATGTCCAAAATTGCCAAAGTTTTTATTCCTGGATACACAGTTGGGTTGCAGCAGGTAATAAACACATTGTCCAATGTGAAATATGAACTTGAATTATATTTGTCAGAGATGGTTGCCTTGTTTTAACTAGACAGTTCTGTTTGTTGTAGAATGCTGTACCATATGGGGAGTGGGGAGGATGTTTAAAAGGTCAGGTTTGGATCACAGCCTCCTGATCTTCTGAAGCACCACAGAAGATCATCTGGTGATACCACTGAAAGGAGCATGATTTTTGGCCTTCTGGTGGGGTTTTAAGAGTGAGGATGGGATCCTCACGTTTGAGTCAAAATTGCATCACTCAAATTGAGCCAGTGCTGCAATCTTGAGGTGCTGGGTCGTGCAAATGCGGTGCTGGAGATTCCAGTTATAGGCACAGTCCTGGTATAGAGTAAGGACATTTAAGCACTAAAGAAGTAACTGTGTGTTGCTTCTGCTCCCCAAAATAACAATATGCCTGATGTGAAAACAAGTGTTGTGTCCTGGAGAAGAAACCAGATATAATATGCACCACTAATGAATTTAATGTATGGTCTCCATTTAAAATGCAGAGCAAATAACTGAAATATCTAATTTCTGAATGTTGTGTTTCTTTCTCTCTTTTTTGTGTGCGGGGGGAACATCTTGTCTGATGGAAGATTTGGGGGAACATATTACAAAATTATGGAATCATGAAACCCAATGATCATAATGCAGTTGCCCATCCCAGACATCATTCATTCATTCATTCATTCATTCATTCATTCATTCATTCATTCATTCATTCATTCATTCATTCATTCATTTGATAGATTTAGAAGCCACCTGACTCTGGGTAGCTTACACTTAAAATAGAAAAAGAACCTAAGTGTCCAGACAAACTCTGCCACAACCTCTACAGACAACCTCCCACAAAGCCTGGGAGAACAGCCAATCTTTTAAAGACTCACAGAACATCAGATTTTTTGTTTTGATTGATTATGCCCTGTCAAGCTGGTGTTGACTCTTGGCAACCGCATAGATAGATTTTCTCCAAAAAACATCATCAGGAAGTTATCTCTTTTCCTGAGGACAGGTGCTTCAACAGAGAAGGCACACCTTCTGGATCCTGATAGATGGCATTACAATCATACAGGGCAGTGTCAGTCCAGGCAGGAGGCAAAGTATAGGTACTGCCACAAAAAAGCAGTGTCTACAGGCCTCCATAGTTTATATTGTGTTGGTGATTCATTACTCTGGATTTTTGTTTTGAGGCATGCTCATTCCACAGCAAGATATGGATTGCCTCAGATGACAAACATGGACTGCCACATGATTTGAAGAGATGGCTGATCAGAAATGTGAAGACCTGGGAAAAATACAAAAATGAAAATACAAATAAAAAATGCAGTGTTTCCTTCCCCCATCCATCAAATTTTTCCATTTTTTCCAATGTTTTTCTGATTTTCCCAGGCTTTAAGACCTCTGTGACTGGCACTTATCACTTGGATTTGGGACCTTCCGCATGTTAGAGACACAGCAAACTGAGATCAGTGCCACCCTTTGTGTCCTTATGACATCTGGGGGCTTCTGATAATCATCTAGCCCCTGGAGTTATGAATGGTAGAAAGTCCAAAATCTTGAGTTTCTGCCTCTCCTTTCTGGGATTCTTCAGCCCTGATGTACAAAGGAGTGACTTTTCCCTTGTCTGATACAGACTGGCTTTTCTTCCCTCACTTCACAATCCAACATGATGAGATGTGAGGAAAGTACTGTTTTCTTCCTCCTGATTTTGTCATTTCCACCTGTTACCTTGCCAGAGGGACCGCTGGCCAGAGCAAGGAGAAGAAAGTGGACGCAGGCATGGAATGCTTCACAGGAGCATGCAGATGCACACAAATACACATTCCTGGGCAGGGGGTAAAGCCATTGCTCTCTTGTTTGTAGCAGCTGATCTACCAAAAGAGACAATGGCTTCACAGGACCAAGCTGTTAGCAAGTAAAAGCCCTATAAAATTGAGATGGAATGGCCTGGTTTTGAAATGTTGTCCTGGTACCACTGAAGCCCCAACTACACATCTATCCATTGTGATATAGTATAAAAATAATACTTGTTTCTGATTCTGATTATATTGTAGCCCCCTCCACTTTTTCTACTTTCAATTTTTCTCACAATTTCGCTAGAGATAAGCTTAATTATGGTACAGTGACTGAGGATTTATCATGCTTATTTATTAGGTATCCTTGCTGATAGAATTAGATTCATTATTTTCCCTTTTTATTAACAGTTGCTGGGATACAAACGATCATGGTGCTCCTTGGTGGATTATACGAATACCAATCCTAATTTCCATTTTAGTAAGTAAATTCAGCATTGGAAATGAATTATATGTTAATGTTGTAATTTTTCACCGTAGCTTTTATCCCTTGAAATTTCACGCATGAGTGTTGGTCTAGGCAAAAGTCTATTATTTTTCATGATTAGTTTTATTTAAAACCCATCCTTCGGCTCCAGAAGGAAAGGCTGAGGTTCCCCCAAGGCAGCTAATAATATAATATCAATTTAAAAAGAACAACACATTAGCGCTATGAAAAACATTTCCACGGTCCTAAAAACAGTAACAAGAAAATCAACCAGTGACATTCCTACTATTAGGAGTCCCCCAATCCCTGGTGAATTTTAAAAACCTTAGCCTGCTTCCTGAAAGTTAAGAGTAGCTAAATTTACTTATTTATTCTTATTTATTTAAATTCTGGGAGTTGAAGTCCACACACCTTAAAGTTGTCACGGTTGAGAAACACTGATCTACACATTAAGGTTTTTTGTTTCTTAAGAGCACCACCACAGGATTTAACTGATCAGTGAATGGTTGGAAGAACTAAGCATTTATTGATGCCATTATTAATCCATCTGTTAATTCTTTCATAGGTAAATTTTATACTTTTCATTAGCATTATAAGAATTCTGCTGCAGAAGTTAAGATCACCGGATGTGGGAGGCAATGACCAATCACAATACAAGTGAGTGAAATGCAACGAAGTCCCTGCATGTCTCTTGATGGAGACCCATGTTGGCAAAACAGGAATCAAAGGAGCACTGACTCATCCTAATGGGTTTATTTTATGCATTTGTTTTTAAGGAGACTTGCAAAATCAACGTTACTTCTCATTCCACTGTTTGGCGTTCACTATATGGTGTTTGCAGTCTTTCCGATTCGCATTTCTAACTACTACCAGATCATTTTTGAATTATGCCTGGGTTCTTTTCAGGTAGTATCTGTGCAAGTTTTCTTCTTAAAATAATTCTGATCTAATTTTATTACTGTGCTTTGACTTGTTAATATTTTATGCCTACAGGGACTGGTTGTTGCAATCTTGTATTGCTTTCTGAACAGTGAAGTAAGTTTACATTTTTTGTGATAATATTGGGGGCAGTGATAATATTGGGGGCAGTTATTCTGTTGTCCAGCTGTTTACAGAAGCCCTCAGATTCACTTTCCAGGATATGCAGGTAGGACTGAGAAAGACCCTATCTAGGGCAGTGGGGATGCACTTCAGGTCAGAGTAGAAAGAACCTTGCTTTAGACATTGCAAAAAACATGGCATGTTTTAAATCATAGTTTGTTGAATGGGCCCCAGTGGGTAGATTTGCACTTCATGCCATTCAGGCCAGGAGTGCACAGCATGCTTTCTTTTCAGAACCATGTTTAACGGGGGGACAGGGGGGAGGGGATGGTAAAAGCCAGAGTAGAAGAGACAGGGTTGTAAAATGAATGCTGGGTCACAGATATTCTTCCTTCCTTCCTTCCTTCCTTCCTTCCTTCCTTCCTTCCTTCCTTCCTTCCGAGTGTTAAAATGTGTTACGCCTGATCTGGGCCTTACATTGCCATTGTGTGTTTCCATTCTGAAATGGCAGCTAGCTACCAGTTTTCCTAAGGGTGGTTGGAAGAGGCTCCAGGAGCCCCCCAAATGGATCTGAAGGCCATTTGTAGCTCTGGGACCTCAGATTGCCCATTCTTGCCTTGAAGTACAGTTTACAAACCACAGTGGCTGGACACAACTAACATACTGTGGGAATCAAACAAACTGCAACCTGGTGTGACGTGAGCCCAGCCATTCAGCCAACAGGAACAGCAGATGCTTCTGCGGGAAGGCCTTCTCCCACCAAGAGGGAAAACGCAAAGCAGGAGAAGCATTATAGGCTATAATTGTTGTTGGGAGCATTGCCTTTTTGCAACCCAAATCAAGCACCAACCCAAACTTGAAATAGTCATTTGTGGGCTTAGTTCTTAGATGGCTGGTGAAGATTGGTAGGGAAAAGTTGGGTTCTTCAGTTAATAGGATTTTAAATGTCTGGGGTAGAATGAGGACAATGCTGGGTGATTTGTTAAATGGATGTCACTCATTTACTCCCAACTCTGTGACCCAGTGGACATCATTTTTCAGAATTACCATATTTGTCGGCGTATAACACGCACAGGCATATAACACGCACCTTAATTTTAAGAAGGAAGTTTGAGTAAAAAAACTTAAATTTAAAATAAATGACTTTCAAGCAAAATAAAGGGAGCTCTGAACTTTTTGTTTATTAATATTTATACCATTTATAAGATAAATACATAACATGAAAGAAAAAGCACCTCTTTTGTATGTTGTAGGCTGGCTATGTGTAGTGTGTATGTACCATTAGTGTTTGT